ATCCTCCGTGTCGGGTTTTTGGCCTTTTGTGCAATTTTGCTTAATGGCAGAATAACAGTCTTGGTCCCTGACTCTTGAGCCTTTAAACTTCTGATTTATCCTTAGATCCTCATCTTTTCAGATCTTTGCATTTAAGTCCTTTTTCTTCCAATTCTCTCCATTTAGTCATCAAACCTTTAATCACCAAAATTTTGCACAACATGAATAGAGTGAACAATTATGAAATTATTTGTAGAAAAATATAACTCTTAAACCCATAATTTCACAAATGTCCATGGTTAAGCACAATTTAAATATACATGTTCATGCTTTCATCATTACCCAAACCTCCATACTTAGCTTCAATCACCTTATTCCATAGACTATTTTCTCCACTAGCTAGCTTGACCCACCATTTTCCCATCAATAATGCAAGATTGAAATTCGTCAGTTCTTTTACTCCCAGACCCCCATCCCCTTTATTCCTCCATATTTTGCCCCATTCTACCCAATTCACTCTTTCTTTTCCTCACATCCGCCCCAAAAGAACCACCTATGGATTTTGTCAATGCTTTCTATCACTCCTTTTGGCTGTATGTTATGTTTTAAATTTCAATGACTAAAATATTATAATTTTGAAAGGTCTTGAGCTCCCAACTTTACCCTTCTTATGTATATAGCCAACTCAATACATATGATCTAAGCAATCACTACAAAATTTCAAGGTACACATTGAGACTAAAGCCGCCTATGTTTTCTTTTCATTATACTTTATCATATGTGTAATTGATTTTTATTTTATTTTTTTATCTTGGTAGCACAATGGAAAACAACTCACTCCCATCTCTTACTTTTACCCCACTTGCATGCCATGCAATTTAAGTCATGATCTCTTATTTTCAACAAAAAAAGATTATCATCGAGTTATTTAAGTCATTAGCATATAGTTGATTTTTGATATAATTAAAATTAAATTATTAGTTTATTAACTAGGGTTGGGCATTTGTTCATTTCGAGTAGGGCTAAAGTCGAAACCGACCAAACCCATAATTGATTTTTGTTTCTCATTTTTTTGGCCTAAAAACCAAGCCAAATTCATTTTAAATTATTCAAATCTGGCTCTAGAAGTTCTAATTATCTACTTATCAGTTTTGGCAAAACATTTTTTCATTTTGGCCATCGGTAATATCGAAACATTCAATTGACAACAAAATTTCACATTTCTATTGATTTTTTATTTACCATAATTAAAGCCATCATATTAAAATTCCAACTTCAATGAAGAATAAATGAAATTTCAAAACCCTAATCATTCACAATTCAATTAATTCATATAGATTGAGCATTCATCACATTCAAAAATCACAAAAGGAAGGTTGGATCTTGATTATGCAAGCGTTGAGATATGCAAACCCCTTTTAAAATCGAACTACTTTTGAAACAGAAAGTCTAAATCAAAAGGAGAAGCTAATAGTAGGGATTTAGGGATGATAATCACTGACAAAGACCCAACCGGAAACCAAAAGTTGTGGTTTCCAACAGCAAGCAAACGTGATATTTAGAGAGAAAGAGAATGAAAGAGAATAGGAAAATGAAAGAACTAAGGAAGCAGAAGAATAGAATTCACTTAATTCTCTCTCTTTGATCTTTTATACTTGTGATTCATGTATTACAATATGAACTATACATTAAAAGTATATTTTGCCTTATAAATTTATTAATATACCTTTAATGAAAGGGTATACTTGGAATAAAATCCGTGGCAGGATGTGAATTGGAAGAAGAGGGAAATTTGGGAGGATGAAATCATGATGAGTCTTGGGAGGGAAATGAGAATGAAGAGCAGCAAAAGAAATTTTAAGTTAGGTTTAGGTTATTACTTATTGGGGTTTCTAAGAAATCCTAAAATTTTAACTTTTTTTAAATGGACCCTTTTTTGGGGCTTGAACCATATTTTTGGTTTTCGGTTTTCCAGCCGAACTACCGAACATCGCCCCGAATAGACCTCAGTAAATACCAAACCGGCCCATTTTTACCAAATACCGCCAAGCCCAATCTAATTTCAAAATTCGGGCTTCGGAATCTGGGTGGCGGATCGGTCCCCGACCGATTGCCCCACTCAATTGGGAAATCTTTATTTAAAAGTAGGGATGGCGAAAATCAGGACATCATAAAATAATTTCACCAAATGCAACCTATGAAAATCAACATTCAGTAGTACAGAAAACAAAAAAGAAAATAAAGTGAGGAAAAAACTAAGGATAAAATGATACATTGAGCAATACTTGCTGGTTTCAAGCACTACAACTAGGCAGTCCTAGCGGAGGGCTCCACAATTTTTGGTGGTTTTTGGCGCCATTCTTCACTATGAGAGCTCTAGCCATACCCCAACTGGCACGCGATTCAAAATGACAGTGCATAAAGCCATAAACCATACCCCTAGAAGATAAGAGCAAGTGGATGAGATCTTTAAAGTTAAATAAGAAAAACTTGTACTCATCCCTATCTCCAAGTACTCTCAATTACCCACATCAGGTGGGGCTAAATTTCTTCAAGTGCCTTGTCTTAGGATGCTTGATGAGGTAAAATTATTAATAATTTTTATTTATTAGTTTAAATTATAAAATATAAAATTTTAATTTTTTTTAGTTCTAAGTATTTTTTCTCAGAAAAAAAGTCTTTTCAAGCTGTTTCTATTTTGTACCAAAGGTGAGGTCATTGATTGGTTATTATTCCCTATCCCCCCATCTGCTTTTATTCTGAGATGTATGAAATATTACTATTAAAGAATAAAGATGAAAGTGACAAATTTTATGAGATTTTATAAAATTTGTGATTGATAATATTATATGAGTAATTTATTTAAAATATTAAAAAATAAATTTTATATTATTTAATAATTAATTTTTTTATTGAGATATACATTAATTTAATTTAATAATATGATTAATTATTTCATATTATTTATCCTAAATTTTTGTCCTAAATATCACTATTCAGTACTAAATTACATTATAATCATGTGGAGAACTGGTTGAGTAGCCCTATTCCCTTATTAATAAAATTGTTTATTACAATTCCAAACAAATCTTCACAGATTCTTGTGGGTCTGAATTCTTATCCTTGCCATGTGCCCCAAAGGAAATCTGTGAATCCCTATTTGATCAAGCACAAAACTAGATTTTGCAGCCACCCTGTAATTGGAAAAGTTACGGTTTTTTAGTTGTTATCCAATATTGATTCGATTAAATTTTTATTTGTATATATTGAGCCATAATGGATGTGGACAATCATCATTAACAATTTTTTGACAATTTTTTTTATTGAAATATAATGTCAATGTGAGAGTAAATACAACTAGTTAGCAGAGCATCCCTTATTTAACAGCTTGAAATTGATTTTTTTTGGCCATACAGCATGAAATTGATCTGTGAGTGAAATTGATATTTCTCCTCCTTATCTTTAATATTCGTAAATGTAGTGTAAAATAAAAAGGAAGAAACCAAAATTCGGCGATAAAACATTAAATTAAGGATTCAAGAACGTTTTATTTCTTTGAATGACACAAGAACCGACCAACAAAATGCAATTGCCTCATTAGGATCTAACCAAATAAATTTAAAAAATTAACCAGGCAACCCTCAACAAATTTTGCTGAAAATACTGGCAACCCATGAAAATCAAACATTCAGTAATACAACAGAAACCATGAAGAAAGACACTGATCAGTAAAAAACCAGAGGGTGTATAATACATTCAGCAACACTTGTGAGGCTTATGCACTACAACTAGGCAGTCCCACCGGAGGCTCTCGCAATTTTTGGTCCTCGATGGGGCCATTCTTCACAATCAAAGCTGTAGCCATACCCCAACTGGCATGCGATTCAAAATGACAGTGCATAAACCATACCCCTGAAAGAGTTGACAAAGTGGAAGAGATTTAATATTTCAAGTTAATAAAAAAACTTAATTTGGAGGAACAAAACACAGAGATTGAGCAAGTTAATATGAAGAAGAATTTGATTAAACATGGATGTTAATTAAGGTAGAAGAAACCAAACGAAGTGAACACTGGGAGATGTAGAACAGAAAATTACCAGGATTATTTGCGAAAAATCTAACGGCTGTCCATCCACTTCCAAAAAGAACAGCAGTGTTCATCTCTGCTGGATCATCCGTGTTATATGAATCAGGGTCAGTCGTACTGTCAAAAGTTCCGTTATTCATACCGACTTGGAAGAAGCTGTAACCATGCAAATGTAGTGGATGACCTCCAGCAGGACCAAAATCTATTGCCTGGAACACAATCTCCACTGGATCTCCATAATTCAACTCGATCACATTCGTCCCTTGGTAAGCGTAAGTTGCATTTTCCAATGCTTCGTCTGGAGTAAGCAGATAACTCGTGTTGTATAAACTTGTGTTGCCCCTGTCATGGTGAAGAAAATATATTTTAACCGTGTACATAATTGGTTTTTGCAATAATACAAATATGGAAACAATACTAGGGAATTAAAGAAACGTATTTTCAGTACATACCCAATGTATGCCCGCAGAATATCTAGCTCAGTTGGGGCTGCAAAACTAATTCTGTTAAAGCTTGCAGCGCCTTTGCCTCCTCCTGATGGACAATTAGGTGAACCAGTGCAATTTACTCTGTCTACTTGCACCTTTAAAATGATCCGAGTAAGATTAACATTGCCTCGAGGGACTTCTGCATCTGTTCTGGAATATAAACTCCGGAGTTGGGCTGTGAAATTAAATGCAGTGGAGTTATCTGTAGCACCAGGGAGGGTTGGGAATGTTGTATTGATTGTTGAATCAACTGGGTCAGAGTATATGAGAAATCCTGTGGTATTTTGGTCGTTAGTGTTGACCCGACTATCATCAAAATATCGATAAAGCATGTAATATCGACTATGGTTCTGGTTTGCCTCGAATGTAACATCCATGGTTTGCCCTGGGAATAACAGAACATATTCTGTGGAAAATGGCTTGACTAATGCCCCATCTCGTGCAACAACCGTTAGGTTATGACCCGTGATGCCAAAATACTGTGGTTCGTGCATTGCAGCGTGGACAAGGCGGAGAAGATAAGTTTCCCCACGTTTAACTGTCATATTATAGATCGGCTCTGAAACTGCAAGGTAAAAAAAAAAAATCGTTGTGGATGTGTCAAGTTTCAACTTGCTCTTGCCAGAAAATTAGGATTATTTCAACTAATTTGATTTCCATACCGTTGCCGCATAGAACTTGATCTCCAGGCAAGCCATTGAGGGTGTAGCCAGTTGCATTAGCTATAGCACTACCGTTTGCAGCTATAATATCACTTATTTCTTTCAAATCTTGATTATACCACGTTGCTGCCAGTGCAACATAAAGTGAGAGATTAAGATCCACATCATATACAATAAATAAAAAATATAAATCACGTGACTCCATATTTCTCCTATAACCAGAATATGGATAACCCATTGAAGTAAATTTAGTCTGTATTTTCCCCTACTTTAATTTGCAAATATTCAAAAGTTAGAAAATATAAAACTTACAGAATACAAGTGTGTGATTTGGAAATCGATATGGAGTGTCTTGTATTTCGTCTGTAGGAGGCAAGATGACAAAAGCACCGTGAACAGTGGCACGAGACCAATCACTGTGAGCATGCCACCATAAAGTTCCAATCTCATCAGATGTTACAACTTCATATGTAAAACTTTTTCCAGGCTGGATTGGACATTGTGTCACATTTTCTGGGCCATCAGACCATGGATTCCTTGGTTGCTTCACACCATGCCTAACACCCGACCAAAAATGCAGTTAACATAAAATTTTATCATTACTGGAAGTTTGTAGTTAAAGAAAATTAGAAAACTATTTCATGATGATTTGGATTCCATATTTCCATACCAGTGAATGGTGATACCATAAGTCCCTTTATTCAGGACATGAACACGCACTGTCTGTCCTCTTTGAATCCGAATCTCAGGTCCAGGATATGTTCCGTTCATCGTCAGAATGGTCCTGGTTTCGCAAAATTTCGTAAAACTTGCATCCTCTACCTGCATCCAGTCCAACCAAAAAGGAAATACAAAATATTCATTATTAAATTGGGTGTGAAGGGTATAGAGTGAAGGAAATGAATCAAACGATGCTTACGGTGAAATAGTATTCAGCCGGAGGCGGGGTTACTGAAGTCTGTGTGGTGGAAGGGGTCGGAGTTATAGGCTGAGTAATTGGAGGGTTAGGAACCACTGGTGGCTGGTTAATGGGAGGCCGAGGAACTACTGGGGGATTGTTAATTGGAGCTGGTTGAGCTCGAGCGACCAGAATCCGGCCGTCGAGTAATGAAAGGGCTACGAAAGTTAAGATGAGAGAACTCATTTTACATAAACAGCACATTGTTCTGGAGTATACTGTGTTATCAGGTCGCACCTAGCTTGTTGTGTAGTTTAGATTGGATTCGGAACTATTTATAGATGAAGAATGCAAGCCAATTGCATAACGCTCTGTAGTCCGTTTAGCTGCATTCCTTGATGATATATTTAAGCTGTTTATGTCGGTGGGATTAGCTACCTCGTTTTTGTACTGATTTGGGTCGTTGCACTATCTGTGGGGAATTTATGTTATACTTTAGTTTAGATGTTTGGTGATTGTAATGATGTTAGAAGCCACACTGGGTACTATTATATAGCATGTATAGAGATATATAGATTAATTGGGTGGTAAACATACGCAGACCAAAGTTAGGTAAAAAATATTTGTTGTATTTTTATTTTGGAGGACAATGTAGACTAATATGAACTAGACTTCTAAATTCTAATATGGAGAATTAAGTTCTCTTTTTACATGTCATGCTTATATTTTCAAACCTCGTGGGTTTTGCATTGAAGAATCATGGTGTCTTTTCCAGTAGTTTCTAATTGGAGACTCCCTTTTACTATTTTTTTCATTTTAATGAATTCAAGTTTCAATTTACGTAACATCTAAATTTAGATAATACGTAAGAGGTATATATATGAGTAAAAGATTAATATTGATCAAATAAAATAAATTTATAAACTTAAATATAATATGTGATACTTTAACTAATTTGGCATAGTTGTTTTGGTTTAAACATACACATATATTTAGGTAACACTTATTTATGGTATATGAATAATAATTTAAAATTATATATATCTTGTTAAATAATTTTATTTTATTAAAAAATTATTACTATTAATATATTATAAAAAATATTTCCTAATTAAAATATACGTGTGCATAATCAAATTATGAAAACTAAATAATTATTTTAATTTTTTCCCTTTACTTGTATTTGTTTAATTATCTTAGTTTGATCGTAACTTACTAATTTTAAGATAGCAATGAGTAAAAAAGATCTCAATTAAGTGCCTGCAGCCTAAAAGCTCAACACGATTGAAACAAACCAATCAAGTGAGGGGACCCAAAGTAAGTACTCATGGATGCATGTGCAATGTGGATGAGTTTTGCAGATAAATAAATAAATAAATAAATAAAAGATTACATCGTCTGGTTCTCAACAATAGGGTTTTTTTTTAAGTTATGCCTTTTAAAAATATAATAAATATATATGT